GGAATGGGTTAAATGTCTCACGAAGGCAGCGCATTGGATATAAGCGCCTTCAAGATTATCTGGACTTCATCTCCAGATAATTTGCAAATGCCCAATGCGCAGTGGATGATATCAACGTCGGAGCCCTGATATATCTTTCCAAGCATCATCGAGGCTGCTGTATTGGTCAATATCTGTGGTACACCTGCAATATCGCTGGCAGGTCTGGCCCATTTGTCAGCGATAATCAGCATTTAGAAGGGGAAACATTTACGTGCAAAATGGTTTTCGGAGAAAGACTAGAGCATGTATGCAGGCGCTGATACCGGCGTAGAATAAGGATATGCGAAGAAACTAAGAATTGAAAGAAAACACACATGATGTCTGTATCCCAAACAAAATTGGGATTGAACGCATCGACAGGCAATTCAAGGTGTTCAAGGATGCTCCGCCATTGCGCGAGTGTGATAGATTGGACGCATGTCAAGGCGGAAGCTTGGGTGTCCAAGTCAAAGTACGATCTACTCAGAAAGATTAAGACGAAGACCAGATATTTACGGAAAACCTATAACTTGCCCCTGAAAAACGGAAGCATCCGCAAGAGCATCAACTATCTGGGCCCCCGACGATCTCTGTGTTTCTTGCAGGATATATTTGATTTCGACGATCCTATCTCGTAGGGGGAAATCGCACTTGAGAAGCGCAATCCACGCTTTCGATCGGGTATCTACAGAATACGCGTCCTGTAGGCTGGATAAAGGTGACTCCGGAAGACCGGCAGTAACCTCAGCCGAGAGAAACTGAACTGGGTGGACGATGACTGGTGGGCATGTCTGGTCAAGTAAGATCGCAGCTTCCGCAACAATCCTTCTCCATCCGGCCTTGACCTGAATGATGACCAGGAGAAAGTCGTATAATTGCTTCAACTCCCAACCGCGAGGACGGTTAACGTGGCTGGGAAATTAGCAGGTTAGTTCAAGTGGCGGTATTGGAAGGAACTGGAAAGTGCTCACGATGTAGAGCGAACGAGTTCCAAAAGGATCAAACGCGCTTCTTGCGGCGGCCATCTACAGAGAAAGACAACAAACATGTACAACGAAGATTCGGCGCCAGCGCAGATGTGCGCCAATGTTAGGCCGATCGCCTGCTTCGCGATTCTAATGGAGTACATATTTGGTCTGAATTTTGAATCGAGTCAACGACTTTGGGTCTTTAAGGACAATGATGACGAAAGGAAATTAAGCCCACCGACAGAGCTCCAATAAGTCCTCGCACATGGATTTTGTCAGGGAAGGAGCCCGTAAACGAATGGTCGCAAGTCTGCGGCGAATTATGAGTGCGTCTATCCCACGTATCGTAGCCTCTCCGAGAGCCAGCAGTGCTCTTCCAGATAATGTGCCTGGGCCCCAGATAGTTGACGTATCGGTCGTTGTTCGTTGCGAATCCGCGGATAGGGAAAAGAGGCTCCCTTGAATGGATGGAACCGTACGAAGATCAAGTGTGCGGGGGCGGACACTTTCTACAACGGGCGGGAGTTTGATGCCTGGAAGTTGTAGATCTGCGCTCCACATAGTGGACGCGTCGGTCAAGGTTCTCTGCGATGACCCCTCAGAAAGCCCGTCGAATGAGCTGAGGGGTGCCGGCAACGTCTGTACTAGCGACATGAAGGAGGAAGGGAAACTGTGAATGCCGATAGATGTGCAAAAGCTGTATTGAAAGACATTGAGGCTATACTGCAAGGTCAGCCAGGTCTGATGAATGATAAGAGGGTATGTGTGCACCCGTGCCATGCAAAGTCAGGTCGCGTGAATGATACTCATTGGTACAGCTTTCAAGTGACGTCAGAATCCTTCCCGAGAGGACTGGGCCGCGACCAGACTCAGACTGTCGACCGGCTGAGGGACCTACAGATAAAACACGAGGTCGAACTCAGGGCGTCGAGACACTCAAAGAAGAAGACTTCAAGAAGAAATGCGGAAACTCGAGTGCGAATGCGCGGATTGTCTTTGGCATGATATTTATTGTGTAGTCCTCCCAGCGCCGCTCTACTACGGCCCGCTAAAATGGTCAACGGTTTCCCGGTCTGTTTGGAAGTACATACCAACTTTCTACGACCTTCATTTGCTCTCCTTGTCCTCGTCCTTGGGCGGCTCAGCAGCCTGGCGAGCGACGTTAAGGAGATGCGCGCGCGTCATACAGTGGAACTCACAGCATCGGAGGTCGACTCTTCAGTCGTCTAGAATAGAAAATTGGTGAAAAAACAATGCACACGACAAGATGGAGGGCGTACTGCACCAGCCGCCTTGGGCACATCGGCAGCCTGAGATGAGCAGGTCAACCAGGGAGTTGTGGGAGGAGCAGTAAACATACGGTAGCAGCGTCAGTCGCGCTCGAAACATCCGCCTCCGTCCCTTCGTCATCCTTCATCACCGCGGGGGCAGTGTGCTCTTCGTGCGCTTCTGCATGCACGGCATGCGCGTCGTGCGAGTCGTGGCCGTGGTGGCCCGCAGCGATTTTCTGCTTGATAGCAAAGGTGTCCCGGAGCAGATATGCTAGCTGTGGTGCATGCACAACTTAGTTCATTGTCACGAAACCGCCGTGGGCGAACGCACTGCCGGGCCTGCAATGGCTACGGCACCTATCTGTGGGCAAGACGTCAAGGGCTAGGTGTGAGTGGCTGCAAGTAGTGACGCACGATCCAAGGCAAGTCGGATTTTGGCTTGAATGGCTCGTGGTGGGCGGCCGCGTCCGCGCTCATGAGACGCCTGGGTGCGTGTACATTGGAGCGCACGGACCGCGTAGCGCGAGCGGTCGTCGAGAAAGCCTGTCGGCTCAAACGGGAGGCCATGGTCGGGTTCAAGGTATGTGAGGTGCAAACAACAGTCAACGGTCTCTGATTTCACGACAAGCGGTACAGAATCAAAGCGAAGGACGATACGGTCTACATAATTCAACAGCGCAAGCTTATCCCCACTTCAACCCGGTCCTCGACATGAACACCAACCCCATCGCAGCCTGGAACGGGTCGCTGGCCGCGAGTTCTTCGTTTAGCAGTCGATCGCGCATTTCGTCGACCGGCATGCTCCGAAGGGCACCATCTGTGTCCCGCAAGACGCTGAGATGTTTCAGAGCCGTTTGCCCGATATCCCACACGTCCGGTTCAGGCGCAACTACGGGCGTGGCTTCGTGCGCCGTAACATGGGCCTCGGGAGTGAGATTGAGCATCTGAAAGCCGAGTCAATGAACGAAACAAGCATAACACGAGTCGTTACACTGCTGAATAGAAAGTGGTCATCCATCGGTGTGTTCATGGCAGGCGGGGAGTCATAATTGTCCATATGATAATCGGAGCGAAGGTGAGAAGAATCTGTGTGCTTGGACGGGCAGAAGGGGAAATCGGACGGTAACAACTGCAGGCCGCGGACTGGTGTGTTCTTTTTCGGAGGGGAGGCTGCTCTATTCGTAGGAGGAGGAAGTAGATTTCCGGGGAAGAGCGTCGCGCGCAGTGGAGTCTGCGCAATTGGTTTCCGAGTATCTCGAGGAGAAGAAACGAGTGAAGTGCTGGAGGTGACTGTGGGATGGTAGGCAATCGGGTTGAATAACGTGGCCCGCACGTTCATCGAGGGTACTTCGGGAACAAAATGCGACACAGGATCGATATTTTCGGGGAATTGTGATTGGCGGGGAAGAAGCATTGGGCCATTGACGACAGGGGCACGAGGATAGCTAAGGATCTCGCGGCGCGCAGCGGAAGACTTGGGCTGCTGGGTAATTCGTGGTGGTGCGAGGCCAGCAGGGGAGACGGCAGGCAAAGGCTGATGGAGAGTGTGTTGGGGGCGTGAAGCGGAAGACTTGGGCTGCTGGGTAATTCGCGGTTGGGGGATGCTATTGAGAGAGACGACAGAGGGATGCTGATAAATGGCGTGCTGGGGGTGTAAAGAGGAAGACTTGAGCTGCTGGGAACTTGCGGGCGGCGGGAAAAACTGTGGTGGGAGTCCGAAATGATAGGCATGACTGCCAGGTGCTGCATATTGCAAGAGAGGGGTTGGGTGGCGGCCGGACGTTGAGCTGGAGGTAACCGGGTTGTCGGGAGTCGGAGTAGGAATCGAAGGGCTAGTGGCTTTGCTGGGAGGAACGTAAGAATTGTCTGGAGGAGGCAGGTCGGCAGGGGGGAGAGTGGTTTGGGATTTGCCAGCGACGCGGCCTCTTTTCTTTGGCGGCGGCACCCCGTCGGGCTCTGAGCTCGCTTCACGTTTCACTGTCGTCCGAGTCGCCTGATCGTCCTGTGCTTTCTGGGAACTTCTGTAGCGTATCACCCACGACTTGATCCAGGTGGTGGTGCTATGAAGAGGTTAATGCTCCGGACAGCAGAACAGGGCTCACGCACAGGCCAGTTTCAGAGCTCAGTTTGTCGTACTCTGCTGCCGTCCAGGATCTACCAGAGTAGTATGCAGCCTTTAGGGCTACGAGTTGGGCAGGATTTGCCCTTACAGCTATAGAATTACTTGTCAGTATATGCGGTAAGGGTACACGGGAACCGCACCTTTGGCTTTGGTCTTGTCCATGGCGGGGTCACCAGAAAAGATGGTCACAGTGACGGGCATGACTCGACTCAACGCCAACAGCCAAATAAGGAAATCGAAAAACACTAATCGGGTCGGCGGAAAGAAATTCTGTATCTCGCTCATTTGTGCTTCAATTTACGAGATTAATGGCTTGTTCTGTCGACAGGTACTTCATCTCTTTGTTTAAGACTGACACAATACATATCCCCTCGCCCGTTGGGTTAAATACCCGCCTCGAAGACAAGCTCGTTTCTCGGTCATTTGGTATCCGATTGACAAGCTTCGTCGACTAGGCGGCGCCCTCTGACTCTCGGGTGACTGAATATGGACTGTCCCGGGTGCAAAACCTGAGTGGGAGACGGACTAACGCAAAAGAATTCCAAGTTTTTCTGGGGTCCCTGCGTTTAATCCCTTGTATTTCCAGATGTCGGGCCAGGGTCAAAAAGGTAACCAGATAGCCTCACGCGGGACTCGAACCCGCAACCTTGGGATTGCCAATTACATAAGTGTAAAAGTCACACGCTCTACCGATTGAGCTAGCAAGGCGGTGTTGACGCCGAGGGCGTTTATGATACAGGGAAATACTTGACAGCAATAATCATATGCTTGTCCTGGTGTATAAGGTAAGACTCAGAATATCGGGTTTAAAATGGATGTTTACTCAAGTCTAATGGGCGACTCCAAGTTGGATGGGGTTGCGAGGATCCTTGCACTTCTCCCATGCCGTGGTCTTACACCCCGGGCGCTGAATGGGGGGACTGCCGTATTTCCTGTCTGCGGGGCCCACGGCGCAGCGTACTGCCCCGCGCGAGTGGCCGATCACCCGAGACAACCAGCGAGCAAAACGGCTGAGAGGGGAACAGGGGAGTTTCACTCCTCTCTCCTTCTCACCGTTCACTGCTCGCTAGGTTTGTCTCTTTTTCTCTCTTTTTATTCTCTCTTTCTCACTCGTGTATCGCTCGCTAGCTCCATGAAATTCTCATTACCCACCGTCCTCTCCCAAGTACATTAATAATTAGTCTACCTGTTCATGTATTCTCGTGGTCCACGGTCGAATTCAATCCAGAGCCCCGTCGCCGACCGCGTACGGGGCTGCGTTCTCGCTACACACCACGGGTGACTCCAACTCGAGCCAGTGTAATGAATTCTTAATTATAGCTTGACATGGTCTCGTTTCGGAATGCGCCAAACCATAGCGCAACAGATACACAATCTGAGCTCCCTTATACAGAAGCACTGTTCTAATGAAGCTGTGGTGATAGCACAATCTATGACTTGGCCTCCACAAAAAGCATACAAAGAGGACACCCAACAATGATGGGCTTCCGAAAAATGCCTGGACACTTTAGTGTTCCAGGTGTTTGTATGGGATTATATAGTATACCCTTTTTAGGTACTCTTTAGCTACAAATCAGATGTATCTCGATCACATCACTTATCTTATCATCTTACCACAAATTACCATCGTCGACCAGCCTCCAATTCTCGTTGAGTAGCTCCGAGTTTCTGATAGAGGCCTGACGATCGGGTTCTACGCCTTGCCTGGCATACACACTAGGCATTAGGCGACTATATCACTATATTTACGACTTGTGCCCACTTCACGCCGGATTACGCCAGGATCACGATAAGACGGCCTACTTAGTGCTGGCCAAAAATATGATACGCCAAATTTAATTTTGAATATATTCAAATACGACCGAATACGATACGGCCTCAGAGCCTTCCACTGAATATGAATACGGGTGAATATGAATATGAATACAATATGGATATGATATGATACGGCCTCAGCATATCCAAATATATTTGGATACATTTATCGAGGCTCAGCCATCACTTATCACCGAACGGCTCTCAAGAACATCATCGGCAACGATGCTCCGCGGCCTATGCCGTCTGCCTAACCGCTGACAATCACGGAGAGTCCCGGTCCCGGCATCTCGGCACAAAGTGTCTTCGCCTCCATCAGCATCCAGACCACTTCTTTCTGAGCTCGGAAGACACTCCCCGTATATGTTCGGGTCTGAAGAATCTGTTGGGGAAGAAATTTATGCAGTTGGGGCCTTGAACTACACACATTTTAAGAAAATTTGAACCAAGTACAGTGTATCTGAATATATTCATATCGTATTCATATTCAACGCTCTGAATATGAAGAGATATGAATATGGTTGGATACAGATATGATACGGGGCCATTGCGGTGAATACGATATGGATATGAATACAATACAGATTTTTCGTATTCATATCATATTATGGCCAGCACTAGGCCGCCTGCTCAGTGCCCTTGAATATTCGAGGGTTCTAGAGAGTCTACAACTCAGAGAGTACAAATATTCGACTTCTGGTAGTCTTTCGAAGAGCTAGACCGTCTGACGAGGGTCCTTCACACAATATAAGGCTTGATCACCCCACCAGGGCAAGCGTACGACGGATACCCTTTTGTGAGTACTCTTGAAGCCTTACAGTGTTAGGCCATACAGTTGCTCCTTATATGGGCATGAAGAATGCTATTAACTTTGATCGATGCCAATTAAGTCCAAACCAGTGCGTTGAGCATAGCCTTCTCGTCGTTTCTTTCAGGGTGTGTGGCCGTATTATATGTTCATGAAAACTGATATAGTTCCAAGGCTTGCGAAATAATTCTTACCATAGCCCTCTTGTCTTTTATTTCCGCCCTGGATGGGTCCTCGGTTCACAGTCGCACTTTGCCTGCTACTGAGCTTTGCTTTAGGGCGACTAAAATAAAACCAAAACACGCGACCCGGCCTTCACGTTTCTTGACCCGGAAAACTCTTAGACACCACAAAAGAAATGGTTCATGTAGAACGATCTCGCATATGCATGGTTGATGCACAGCACCCAGGTGTCCAGGCTCTGCCCGTGCAGGGCAATTAAGCGGGAATACCTCATTATTCCACCGCATCGGCCCTGCGCACCACTGAAGGTATCGGAGGGTGTCACAGTTCTATGACTTGGTAAGTACAGTGTCTTGGAGTTTGAGCAACCCAGCATCATGGCCGAGGCATGGCCGAGGTAACGAGTCATAGCGAGAGATCAAGAGAAAACATGTATGTATGAGTTGGTGGTAGAACAAAGGTAAAAAACGGAGAATGACATGAAATATTCTAGCTACAATGGAGAATTTAGTATTAGTATACAACTTGGTACAGACTCTACGTATACCTCCTTGCCACTGTCAAGCATTTGCAGAGCTTAGTCAAGCACTAAATATATTCTCGGATTCTACCTTCAACCTCGTCTGGTTCCTTAAGAAAACCCAACACAGTGCCAGAGAACATCCGTTGAAAGCATACCATCAATACATTCCCACGGTTCAAATTGAAGTTCACCAACCGATCGAGTGGCTCTGCTGCGTTGGAACTTGTCAATGGAAGCCTCAGATCGGTTCTCGATACTATCGGATCCTTAGACTTTGATCTGTCATCGTGGCTGGCTAACGGTGGACTGCAATTCGAACACAGTCAAGTATACATCCGAGTCTTCGAAGAAGTATTGAAATCCAGAATGGAACCCATTTTTTATTGTAGTGCGAGTCCATGCCGCGATTGATTAATTTCGGACGAATTCAGAGAACCATGGTTAGTAGATTCAGGGCGGAGTTCAAAGGCATAGACAGCAGGCATTTTTTCCAGGAGAGCCAGCATCACCTCAAGCTTGGCAGAAATTCTCCACAAACAGAGTTGATCAAGGGTCCTAACCGTGTCATGATCTCCATCGGGAATGTTCCGCCTGAGTTAATCGGGATCCCGAGCTCGGTTACGCTCCCAGGGCAGCTGGATGACCTGGGGTCCTCAGAGTCTTAAAAAAATATTTGAGGCCGAGTGGGCAATACCGAAATTCAACACGTTAGAACGGCCTAGATGTGCTTCGCCATTAGAGCAGAAAATCTGGTGCGCGTCAAGGGCGCCCCGACAACTCGGGAATCTATCTCGCATACAGTCGCGTACCCTTGGCGTACCCTCGCGTATCTGTTCACCGCGCACCGAAACTGATGGGAGCCCACGACCCTTGATGGGTCACGTTGCCGTTATGCTCACGTGATGTTCAACGGACGCGCCCATCAAACAGTCGAGCGGCCTCCCTTGTCTTCGTGCAATCGTGTCCTGTACCACCATGGACTCCCCTCATCCCCACGAGGGCTCTACTGACGTGTTTTCTCTCTCAGATCAAGGTACCCTCCATTCGCGCCCTCCAGGTTGCCCCAACTCACCGTCCACGCAGACCTGTCAGACAAGCTGCAGTTCGTCGAGGAGATTGGCTACGGGAACTGGGGTAGCGTTTGGCTCTGTCGGCCAAAGGAGGACCCTGACTCCCCCACCGCCGATGGCGTCGTAAGACTCCAAGAAACCAAGATCGCGGTCAAGCTCGTCCACCGATCTAAGACTTCCACGACTGCTGCGCGCGTCAGATCGCTGTATGTCGCTCCATCCGCACGTCTGCCCCGCATTCTAACCCTGGATGCCCGCAGGTGGAATGAAATGAAGATTGTCCGGTCGTTCAAGTCGGACCCACACCCTTCGATCATCCCGTTTCATTCATTCATAATCACCCCTTCCTACGCGTTGATTACTATGTGAGTTCTCTAAACCACCCATATTTTCCCCATAGCTGTCTATGGCGGACTTTGGCGCGTGAACTTGTTCTTTATCACGCGTCAACGTCCCTTGTTTGTTGATCGTTGTTTAACTGACTCAATTCCAGGGCTTTCCTTCCGACACTGGTGCCTGTCGAGGTAGAAGAGTCCAAAGCCCGTGAATGGTTCCACTTCCTTCTATCGGGAGTCGAGTTCTTACACAAGCGCGGTGTTGTCCACAATGATATCAAGTAAGCCGGCTCATGTAGCACTTGTCTCCATCCCTTAATTTTCTTCCAGACCCGCCAATATTTTACTGTCCACCAAGAACATACCCGTTCTCGTGGACTTTGGATTCGCAGAGAAGTATGACAAGAAATCAGGCACTGCTTTCCACAGCAACCTGTCTTATGGCACTCCCGAGGCAAGTCGCGTATTTAATCGCACTTCCTGGGCGGTCTCTCACGCGTATTACAGTATCTGTCTCCCGAGCGTGCCCGTGGTCTTCCCCATGACACAAGAAAGTCCGACGTCTGGTCTCTCGGTATTACCTTTTTCGAAATATTAGTTGGTCGGACGCCGTTTGAGCATTCGGACAATGAACAATTCTCCACCAAGGAGGACCTCGAAAAGTACTGGGCGCGCACGGTGGGTTCCACTTTGCAACTCTTTGGCATGCGCTCACTATGCCTGCAGCTCCGGGGAAAGTGGGTTGGCACATGGAAGATGTCCAAAACCATCGAGAAAATGCTCCGAAGGATGATTTCACCCAACGCCGATTTGCGATGCACCGCTACTGACGCTATGAATGACCCGTACTGGCGCCCACTCAGGGAAACCGACACTTCGCATAGTAAGCAGCATTTCGTGCAGCATGCACGGACTAAACTAATCAACGGTACAGGGCGGTCAGCTAGCCACGGCTCGTCCGTCGTTTTCGAGAA